CCACAACTCATTTTACATTTTATGAAAACAACAGCAGCGTACAAAATCATGCACATGAATTTTTTAATTTTTTTGTTTCCGTACAGTTAACATAGAGTTTTTTTTATAAAGAGTAGGTAACTGCATTGAAGAAAATGTTCATCTCCCAGCATGTTGACACGGTTCATTTGCTTCGTATGTTCAAAAATTTTAACATTTTTTTCAGGCAAAAACATGCTAAACTACACAGTGGCATTTTGTATGAAACTTTTCCATAAACAGAAAATTGTCGAGTGCATTGAGAAAATAGTTTTCAATGTTTTTACAAGATTAATGATTTTTGCACCATCTTTTATTTATCATTTAATAAGAACGCAGTATATTTTTTATTGAAATGTTTTGTCTTCAACAGAAGTAGTGTTGTAAATTTCTGATGGCCTTAAGTTTCAGTTAAAATACGCTTCAACTTGCATACATTGTGAAAACCTAATATTTCCAAATATTTTGCCGTAATAGCATTATTTCAAGAAATAAAAATAAAATATAAAAAACTGAATAACAAAAATATTATTTGAACTGAAATATTAAATAATCGAAAACATCTGTTTGAAAGGAGAGCGCTGAAATAGAACATCTCACACACCACGTTACATCAGCGGTCCCCGGCACGTATCATGCAAACCTCTCCATGAATTTCTCTTCTCCTATGTTTATTAGTCCAGGTGTTTGCGTGCTTGCTTGTAGTTCTGTGTTTATTTGTTTTGTTTGTATGTTTTCAGTTTTATTCTACGTTAACTGGTTTCTGATATTTTTTAAATCATTGCATCATGTCAATTAAAAGTTAATTTTCTTTGAAATTGACACGTTATTTTTCATTTTGTCAACCAATTTGAAAATTTTGTAAAATGTCACAATACCTGAAAGATATTGTGTGAGCATTGATGGGTTACGACTCCCACTTCACAAAATAGAGACGCACTGAATATTCGGCTAAAATATGATATTGAGCTTCGGCTGAGACTATTTTTATAGAGCAAACAGTGCAAATTCTTTTTATTTAAGACATCACT